CATTCCTGTTTGTGTATAGCTGAGTATCCAGAGGGTCTTTGGGGCTGGCTGATGTGGATAGACATCTTGTTAGGCCTGTGGAGTTTTGCTTCCAAGCTTATCAACATAACTCTTCTACAAATAACACTCAGGGCAGTTGGCAGAAATGGTAGATTAAGTGCGTTGTGTCCTTAGGGCAGCTTCAATCTTGTGTTAAGACTGGAAGAAATACCTTCATGTATTAATTTTCTGTTCTAGCACTCTAATGAAGCAGCTATTTGACACAGGGATCCTCTTTCAAGAGCCTGACTGGTTTTCCTGCTCTTGTGAGCTCTACTCCTGCTTTGTGCTTCATCTCTGTGTCCTGTGTTAGCGTCAGTGGTGTGTTCAGCAGTGCTTTTAGGGCAAACAGTTCCTGTTGCGTAGGTTGGTGGACTTAGTACTTAGGTACGTCCCCTGCAAGGCCAAAGCATTGGTTTGGTGCTTCACAATTGATTAGCATTTGTTGGACTTGAGAAAGAAGTAGATGTGTTTGGGTCTTTTAAGCACAGGGGGCAGAACTGAGTGAAAACAGGCAATGGGGTCTTGTGAAGTGGGAGACTTCAAGACAAATACAGCAGCAGTGTATTTATATAGAGGAACAATATATGATGCATTGTGTGTTTTCAGAAAATAGAATGAAAATATTAACTGGTTGTCTGGTTTTGTAATGGGACATGAAGATGTGGTGTTGGTGTTTTATCACTTCATGTACCAGACAACACATTGACATCTGGTGACAGCAATTCCAAACCTAAAGAAAATTCAACCACTAATAAAAGAGAAAGCACAGCAAATACATCCTTTTTTAATACTCTTTGACCAGTTCTTTTGGGCAGTGATAGGAATGAAATGGCTTGGGTTCCTGATTTGGTCCTTTGATCATCCTGATTTGATGTCTAACCAGGGCCCAAGGCAGTGGCTGAGGTGAGCACGTCACGGAGGTGCAGTGCACGTGGACAACTCGGGGCAGTTGGTGGAAATCTGAGGCTGCCAATCTGATTGTTGTTTTTCTTTTTCTTTCAGATGGAAAGAATGCCAATGGATCCAAACAGCGTTATAATCGTAAAAGAGAAACTTCCTATTCAAAAAATGAGAACTTTTCCAGTCAGTCCCGTCGCTCCAATTCACAGAAAAGCAAAGCTTTTAATAAGATGCCTCCTCAAAGGGGAGGTAGTGGTGGAAGTGGCAAACCTTTTAGCTCTTCTAATGGTGGAAGACGAGATGAGGTGAGAATCATAATGCCATGCCTCCAGGGCCTTCTGTCTTGGGACAAGAGGATCACTCTGACCTGCCTAGATAGGTCTGCTGTGTTCAGCTCCTGGGCTGGTAAGGGAAAGAGCGATAAGAGGTGCTAACATCGTTGAGATGCCAGAGTGAGTGTGAGTAGAACAACTCGGCAGCAACCAGCAACAGAAGAGGAGTGCTCTCTGCTCTGAGATATTTGCAGTAAATAATGCGCCTGAGGAGTGAGTGCCTAGACAGGCCATGTACATACTCCTGAAACAGAGGTCCTTGATGAAAATATCTAGTCATGCAATTTCCAGCTTTTAAGTTCGGTGTGATCAGAATCATAGAATTGTTTAGGTTGGAAAGACCTTTAAGAGTGAATCCAACCAATAACCCAGCACTGCCAAGGCCACCACTAAACCATGTCCCAAGTGCCACATTCAACATGCCTTTTAAATACCTCCAGGGATAGTGGCTCCACCACTTCCCTGGGCAGCCTGTTCCAAGGCTTGACAGCCCTTTTGGTGAAGAAATTTTTCCTAATATCCAATCTAAATCTCCCCTGATGTAACATGGGGCCATTTTTTCTTGCCCTATCACTTTTTAATTGGGAGAAGAGACAGCAGTAGCCAGATTAAGTTCTAGTTGGACTTTGACCCCTCTAATTTTCTCACTGCATGACATCCTTGTAGACCTCCTGAGTTGCCTGCCCCTTCTTCCAAAGGCCATAAACTTCATTTTGTCCTGAGTTCCAGCCAGACCTCTCTGTTCAGCTAGGCTGGCTTGTGTTTTGGCACATGGGGATGGCCTGCTCCTGCACTTTTAATGTTTTTTAAAGTCCCAGACCTTCCTGGGCTCCTTTGCTCTTCAGGACTGCCTCCCAAAGGGACTCCGTCAACCAGGCTCCTAAACAGAGTCTGTCCTCTGGAAATTGATTGTGCCTAATCACTTCAATGTACAACTTTTCATGTGATGGTGGTGTTGGGAGAGTAATTGTATTGCCCCTGGTGATGTCAGGATGGAGTAAAACCAGATTGAGCCTTTTATGCTGATACGGGTCTAAATTCTGTATAGACTGTTCGTGGGTTTTCATTGAGAACTCTGCTTTTTCAGTTTTAGTGGATGAGCAGCTCTGCTCACCCGAATTGCTGACTCTGTCGTAACTCACCTGCTGTCTGTTGAATTCTCATTCTTTGCTTCATTATGTGAAAACTAACTAAAACAGTCTGTGCAGATAGTGATCAGACTTGTATTACTGGTTGTGTAAAAGAATATTGTCAGGATTTGAACAGCTGTCTTCTGTTCGTAACCTTGACTACTAAGTTTTGCCAACTTCTACTTGTCCTTATGTGGGTTGTTCTTATGCTTTCCTCCTTTTGATCAGTGTGGGGTAAGACCACTCAGCTCTGACTTTCAGGTTCTCGTGCGCTTCTAACGCTGCACTACCTGATTTACAGGACTGGAATGAGAGCAGGTGAGTGAGTGGATGGTGTATACTCTGTCCATAATCACTGATGGGGCCTGGGTATCAGCTTGTACTGATGGTCGTGTAGTAAATTCTGTCACGTTCTAACAAATGCTGTTGTCTCTTAGGTAGCAGAGGCTCAGCGGGCAGAGTTCAGCCCTGCCCAGTTCTCTGGTCCCAAGAAGATTAATCTGAACCACTTACTGAACTTCACTTTTGAACCCCGTGGCCAAGCAGGCCATTTTGATGGGAATGGACATGGCAACTGGGGGAAAAGGAACAAGTGGGGGCATAAGCCTTTCAACAAGGAGCTCTTCCTACAGGCCAAGTGAGTGGAAGACCAGCAGGGCTCTTAAACTTCTGCAGAGACACTGAGCTGTAAGGGATGATCAGCCAGGGAATTGTGTTTGACCTTCAGTACTTGTATTGACTTTTCCAGGGTGAAGTTACCTCTCTGTAGTGTTCTTAGTGGTAATGGGTATACTTGAAAGGGATAAAAATACATCAAAGTTGTCATCTTTACCTATTTACAAGGTATCTGATGGAGTGAGACCTTTAGGTACAAAACAATTAGTCCTCAGCTCTAGTTTTCTAGCATCATTTGTGGAATATGACACTCTTCTAGGGAAGACCAGTGTAGACCTTACGGAAGGCAGTAATTTTTTCCAAAGCATAGTATGCTGAGGTGGTTGGGGTAGCAGTTGCTGGCTGAAAACTAATCTGAATCTGTAAGTCCCAGAAAAAATTACTTGTACAGGTCTTAGTTCTTAAACTGCTGATTATTTCTTAGGCCCATAGGTATGTATTATAACCTAAATGATGACCAGTATCGTAATCCAGCAGCAGAATTGCTTTTGACTGGAAATATGGGTCACTTCCACTGGAATTTAAGCGTAGTCAGAACTTCCTGTATCAGATCATATTAAAGATAAAGCCAACTATTTTCAGCATTGATGCTTCTAATTTTGTCCCTATTGTTTTGTGACTTGTAGTGAAGTCTGTTTGCAGGAATCCCAGTAGTTGTAGTTTTTGTGACCATATTTTTCCCACTTGTGAATTCCTTTTTTTTTAATATTTTTTTTTTTTTATTTTTATTTTTTCCCCGTTGTGAATTTTTTTTTTTTTTATTTTTTTTTTTTTTTTAATTTTTTTTTTTTTTTTTAAATAGATCCTGGATGGAGCTGGCTGTTTCTTACAGTTTCTGGAAAACTACTCTGCCTGGCTCACTCTGTAGTTACTGTGTGATGATACTGTGTCTAACTGAAATTAGACACAGCTATATTCTGGAAAACTGGTTATGAATTGAACTCTTTTGGTTTTTGTTCATAGAAGTTACTGACTGTGTCCAGCAGTTTTCTGCTGGACAACGAAGAAGCTCAGAGAATCCTATAGGATAGTTCTCAAAGAATTTTTAGAAACAACTGAGTGGATCATCTGTCTCTTTGCCTTTCCCCAGCTGCCAGTTTGTTGTCTCTGAAGAACAGGACTACACAGTCCACTTTGCTGATCCAGATACCTTGGTCAACTGGGACTTTGTGGAGCAAGTGGTCAGTTGTGATGGGCTAGATTTTTTTATCTTCCTCTTCTTAAGAAGCTCAACCTGTCTTTTAACTGCCTCTTTCTTTCTGTGATGTTACATAAAACTCAGCTGTTTTTGAGTTGAGGCCTCTTCTGTTACTCCCACAATACTGGGAGAGATCTGTCATGGAATATATTATGAAATACTTTCATGACAGGAAAAGAGAAGTGCTAAAATCTATTAGGAAAATTAGCAGCTTCTTCTTGCTTTCGCAGATGGGAGCTCATCAAAAATAGTATCTGACATTCTGTAGACAGAGTCCTTGTGATCGAGATATTAACAGAAAACTTGGGCATGAGTCCATGGAAGAGGACTAGAGTGTAGAATTTTGAAGAATTATTCTGTGCATAGGTGGCCTGTCTTGCCTAGCAACAAAATGGAAAATCTCTTGAGAATTATGGTCAGAACTTTGGGTTGCCTGAAGTAGAAACTTATTATCTGCCAAGTCTAGTCTTGGTGTATGGTGTAGGTGGGGAGGAGGTAGGAGACCTGACACTACAAGAGAGCTGAAAAGTCTAGGTGCTTGCTTGGCAGTTATGTCTCTGCAACATACAGATGCTAAAGCATCTGACTGAACTAACATGTTCATGGAAATAGGTAAGTTCAGTCTCGCAGTTAAACAGGGCTGTACAAGTCTGCTTGTGTAAATGAGGCAGCAGAGCTCATTTGCTGTCTTTTCAGTGTCTGAATTGAGATGATGAAGATGCTGCTAACTCTTAAAGAGATGATGAATACGTGACTGGAAGCATGAGAAGAGTCACTTTTTTGATGTCATTAGAGTAGAAATACCAGATGGGTGGCTTTTGAAGGCTATTCCATCTGCAGTCTGAAGGTGTTACTTAGTTCACAGTGTACTTAATTTCTTGGTGAATAAGCAGAGCCTAAAGAGCTGGAAGATTGATTTTTTTTTTTTTTTTTTTTTAGAGTAGATCTTACAGGTGGCTTATTCTGTAGCACAGGAACTGATTTCCAAGTCTAAAACTTGTACTGTTGTTCTCATGTGCCATTTCAGCGAATCTGTAGCCATGAAGTGCCCTCTTGCCCCATATGTCTGTACCCACCAACTGCAGCAAAGATCACCCGCTGTGGGCACATCTTTTGTTGGGCATGTATTCTTCACTATCTCTCCTTGAGTGAAAAGACCTGGAGTAAATGTCCTATTTGTTACAGCTCTGTTCACAAGAAGGATCTCAAGAGGTGAGAACTAGTATTTGTTGCATGATGTATCCTTCTGAAATGTTTTTACCCCACTAACCTTCTGCTTCCATTGCAGTGTTGTTGCTATGGAAACACGTCAATATGCAATTGGTGATACCATTACCATGCAACTTATGAGAAGAGAGAAAGGTGTTCTGATAGCACTGCCCAAATCTCAGTGGATGGATGTGGTGCAGCCTGTTTACTTTGGAGGTGAGTGTGTCTGGGGACTGCTGGTTGGCATCCTACTCCTAACTGTGCCTAGGGCTTGTGTAGAGAGGATTTACCATGGCAATGCCATGCTGTCTCCTTAAAGTAAACCAGTCTACAAAAATGGCTTTTAGCAGCTGAAAACCTTAGTGACCACATATTAATAATAAACATTCTACCCACGCTTTGTTTTCTGTGAGGCTTTAACTTGTGTGCTATTTCCCTTCAAGTTACTGCGCTGCAGACTCCTGCCTTCTCAGTTATTGCTACTAGTTTGATGTGTGTTGTATTGTACCATCATTGGTGTGACTCTTACTGCTTTTGTTGGCTCTTCAGTGTCCTTAACGTTTTTTTTCCTACTGGCTTCTCATTGTACAGCTTAGCAAAAATAACTGTCTCTGTCTAAACTATTTTAAGGATGTAATTTTCAACAAGGTTTTCATCATCTTCACTTATCAACTAAAATCTGTGAAAGATATGGGGAAATAATGAAAATTATTGCAAACCTATTCCAAACATCTGTTGCCTGACTTCTTCAGTTTTCTCCAGTCGAGTTATGTGACTTAACACATCATCATCTTATCTGTTAGTATCACAGAAATTTTGTGACTAAAGAAATAATCTTACCATTGCTGGCTCGTGGGCTGCCTTGGCTCCCTTCATTTTGCAGTCACACTTACGAAGGGCTGTGTGCATTGAAGCTCTCTGTAAAAAGTCAAGTCTCTGAACACATGATGGGTATCCAGCATGCAGGGGGTGTGCTTACATGTGTCATGGTATTTGAAAGGAAAGGACTTTAAATCCTTTCATAAACCAAAGAACAAATAGGGATGTGAGATTATTCTAAACCAAGGAAATTCAGCATTAACTTGGTGTTCTGTAGACAAGGTTTGACTCTTGGGGAGCAGTGACTATAGGGACTGTACTAGTATGTAACGCTGTGGTTGCTGTGAAAGTTACAGTTAAGCTCTCTAGTAACAAAGGCAACTACCTTTTGCTAAACTTGCAGTTCTTTAGCTTACTATTTCTGCTGTGCTTCTTGTAAAACCCTCATAATAATGTTTTGTACTTTCTTTTTTTAATACATATGGGCTTACGAACTAGTTTGAGCCAAAGCAGAGGTCAGTTTTGCAGAACTTTCCAGTTGCAGTATTTTTGCAGATATTAATGGTTTGGTGCTCCTTCTGTTCAGATGACCATCACAGTCAGTATTCAAAGCTGCTTCTGGCATCCAGGGAGCAGGTCTTGCAACTGGTGATTCTGGAGGAGAAAGCAGCATTACTAAAACAATATGAGGAAGAAAAACACACCCCAGAGGCTTGCTTTATTGAGGCAGCTATCCAGGAACTGAAGGTGAGAGCCTCTTTGGAGGCTTTAGTAACTTTATTTTTAGAAGTATGCTGAGTGCTGAGCATCTATATTCTGCTGCATAAGTGCTTGAGTATGGTTATTCTAGTCTCCAGAACATACATACTAGCAAGGTGGTGATGTTTGCACTGAACAGTATTAAAAATCTTGGAGGATACTATAGCCTTTGGAGCCCAGGTATGGGCTTCGGAGCATGATGTTCGAGAAAACAGAACAGTGCTTTTTAGTGAATGATATTCCTTCTATTCTGTGTAGAGTTCTTCTTTCGAAGGAATATGTTTCCCTTTCAGCTCCAGCAATTTCTTGGGTAAGTTGTGTTGGGCAGACATGAGCAAATCTGTAGTCTATTCCTTTTCAAAGCCATTAGGTGTACTACACTGGGTGTGCTTTCCAGTAACAAGGAGAGAACCTCCCTTCAAGGGTCACTCTTTGTCACAGTTGAATTAAAGATCTATGAAAACCTGAATTATAGGACAAGGCTAAAAATAACTATGGTGATAGTATCCTGGCTTAAATAGCAAATTAGAACTTGCTCTCTTTGGATGACCTGTAGGAGCGAGAAATGTCACTCTCTGCTAACCAGGGTAAAAACAATGGCATTGCTGGAATCAGTGCAGCTGTGGAAGAATTGGTCCTAGAAAGCTCCAAGGCTGTGGAGCCTGCAGTTTCCCAGGAGAAAAAGGTGGGTGACAACTCTGTTCTGGCAGATCTTGTTAATACTTAGTTCCACCACTTCACTCTGCAGCGTATGGTGAAGTGGCACCAAAAACTTTTGCAGAGATGATAATCTTTTGAAGGAGGTGATGTATTACTAACTGTATGCTCTCTGATGTGATAGTGTGGTGTGGAATATCTCTCTGCTTTTGATGAGGAGCTTGTGGAGCCTTGCTCTCATCCGGCAAGTTCCCTTTCACCCCCTGTGGAAGCAGAAGAGGCAGTGCCGGATGAAGAGGAAGTACCTGAGGTGGATATAGTAGGGGAACCTGATATGAACACTATAGAAGAATCAAATCCAGTTGAAACAAGCTGCCAAGAATCTAAAGATACAGTTACCAGTGGACACCTTAGCAACTCTCCTTTTTACTATTTCTATCAAGGTCAGTGCAATGAAATCCTAGAATCATGGGGGCAGAGGTGCCTCCTTTGGGATCCCTCTTGAGGAAGAGGTTTGTCACTTTGTTAGGTTAAGCTAATCCCTGTGAAACAAAAGTCCCACAGAAACTCAGAGAGAAACTTTTAATTTTATTACTGGAGAATGTACCCAAAATGGGGGAGAAGGGTATGGAAAGTGAAAAGGCAAAGCACAAGTGATGGTATCTTCTCTCGCAGCGGAGGATGGGCAGTGTATGTATCTTCACCCAGTGAATGTTCGATGTCTTGTTCGTGAATACGGCAGCTTGGAGAAGAGTCCAGAGAAGATAACTGCAGCTGTAGTGGAGATAACTGGCTACTCAATGACAGAGGTAGTTATTTTATCTTCTTATTAATTAAGGGCTGTTGGTTTAGCAGATTGATCATTGCAGCTGATAGATGAGACTTGTTTCTCTTCAGTAATAGTAAATAACAACTATGGATGGGTAGGCACCCTAGCCTGGGAAGGGCCCCTGTGTAAGGTGCAGTACCTTATGTTGCTTTTGGTAAGTAGGCTGCAGTCTAGCTTTTTCTTTTTCCTTAGAAGGTAGGAAGTTCTAGGGGTAAGAGAATTGCAAGCTTAAGATTGCTTTGTTGTTAAAGCTGTCTTAAAAGTAAATTCTTTTGTCGTGTGAGACAGTAGCTTGAACTATACAGATCATCATCTTTCTCAGCCTGATAAAGTATTCTGCCTCTGTCTTGACAAACAGTTGTTTCTGAGCATCAGGGGTAGAGGAAAATAAAGAGGATGGACAGAAACTTCAGTGTTTGAGATAGAGGGAGTGAAAGTGCTTGAGCCACTGAAGTTCTGGAAGAGAGGATGGGTCTTGAATTCCTTTACCTCAGATAAAGACAAACTGTAAGAATTGACATGTGTGGTAACAACTATACATAATTCTTAATTAATCTTTAAGAAAGTATATGCTCAGGTAAGAATGGATGCAGAGATAGGGAATTGTCTTCAAGTTTTTTGTCCCTGTGGAAAAATATAAAAATTGATTTCTTTTGGTCTAGCAAATCAGTGGTCGTTGATCCAAATAGTTGAAGTGTAAAAGGCAAATTTGGTCCAGTGCAAAAATAATTATGTCAGAAGACTGATAATGTAGAATTCTAGTTCAGTGGTGTGAGAAGGGAGAAATGACAAGAAAATTGGTAAGCAAGCTGGAGTAACTTTGTCCAAATATGATTAGGATGTAGCTGGTGGAGATCTTGGAGCATTTGGTTCTGACCCAGCACATCTTTCATGTGTTCATCGTTTATAAAGTGATTATTGCATCACTGCTGCTATTTTTTTTCCCATTTGACTTTGTGGAATGATGGGTGTTTAGTCTCCAGTAGCTGTTCATCAATACAGCAGCCTTTCAACCTTGTGATAATATATCTGCTCTTTTTTTATCAGGATATAAGACAGCGTCATCGCTACCTCTGTCACTTACCCCTCACCTGCGAATTCAGCATTTGTGAACTGGCTCTGAAGCCACCCATCATCTCTAAGGAGACTTTAGAGTTGTTTTCAGGTTGGTACTGCCTTTTTAGTTGGCTCTGCCATGTATCCATGAAGGTGAAGTCATTCTTATCCCTTAATAGCCAATAAAAGAACATACATAGCAGCTTTACTCCTCTTGCACCAACTGTCGATGACTACTAGACAGAACAACCCCAATTCACTATTTTATAGACAACAGTTACACAAAGAATAAAAAAGCCTGACTGCTTGGAAGAGCGTATGTTGTTTGTAAGCATATTGTGTTACTAATGTGTTATAGCTGAATATATTGTTCTCGGAGCTGGAAAAAACATTGCCAAGGTATCAGTGTGGGGGTTTTTGATACCCAATGGTTTGCATTGCTTCTAGATGACCTTGAAAAGAGGAGACGTCTGCGGCAGAAGAAAGCTCGTGACGAACGGCGACGTGAACGCAGAATTGAGATGGAAGAAAACAAGAAACAGGGCAAATGTAAGTGGTGATCGTGTATAACTGATGGATTTCCAGTCATCTTTAGGCGCTGAGCTGATTTCTTGAGCTATAGGATGAACTCTAAGGCCTTTGGTTTGTAGTGAGTGCTTAGAAAAAGATTACAAGGGATTAGAAACGATGTCTGTAGAGTGAAAGATAGAAGCTGTTTTAGTCAGGATGTTAAATGGTGTTATGCTATATACTTGCACATTGTGGGAGAGACAGAGGGCATTTGGGGGTGCAGCTGTATCTCCACGGTGTACATAGGTCTCAGGATTCTTAGTTTCTGTTTTTATAGTAATCACGATATAGCGTGAAAAGTGAAGAAGGAAAAAAAATGCCTAGGGACAGTTTCCATCCAGCAGCAGGACTTGTACTGGTCTCTAAAATAGGGGGTGGAAGGAAAATTGAGTTGGCACATCCTAGACTCTTGAAGCACTTGCATATTGACAGTCCTCCTCCACGCTGTGTAGTGCTTTAATTTAACACCTCTTTCTAGATCCAGAGGTCCATATTGCTTTAGAGAATCTGCAGCAGTTCCCTGCTTTTACCTCTTGTCCCAGAGAAACTACCAGCATTGATCATCGGAGCTTCTGTCTGTCTCCTCTTGGCAGAAGCCCTGTGTATCAGACAGGTGAGCATCTGGAAAAACACGTCACAGCCAGCTCTTGATTGTTCTTTTGGGATCTACTGCTTGGGTCATCCCACTAAACTTTCTTAAATGCTGATCAAAGACATCCTATTTTGCCTGTGAGGTCATATACAAAAGGCTGACATGGCTAAAAAACATTCTGGTCCTTTGTCTGCTTTTTACTACCTCTACTTCAGTGACAGTATGAGATCTGCACTATAGTTACCCCATCTTTTAAATCTTTGTTAAGGCAGAATAAAAGAAAGGAAAATAGTTTTCCAAAAAGGAAAGCAAAGTGTGTATGCCAGGAAAACACTACTGGCATGTTTTCTTTCTATCCTCTCCATCTTCTCCACTAAAATAAAACACAGCTGATGAGTATTCAGGCTGTTGTCCAGTGTTGCTTTACTAAGTGTTTTATCTTGCAGTTCATTAAAAAAAAAAATTAAGTAGATACTGTTCTTAAAAGTTTTTCTCATCCCCCCAAAAAGCACACCCACCCACCCCCCACCTCAAAATAAGCAATGCCCCCAAAAAACCCTCACAAAACATCAAAGACAAACAAAACCCACGAAAAAAAACCATTAAATCTTCCTTAAATAAGAGTATTGAGAAAATTTGAGAGGTCCCACTGTGTTACTGATAGATGGAACTGATGTGAGAAAACTGGCTAAGATAACATGAGATAATGCATAAGATAATAAAGCTTTATTTCTGCTTCAGCCTGATAAACAGCAGAATGAGTGTCTCTGCCAAATGCAACTGGCTTTAATTGCCTGCTGCTTTCTCTGTAGAGTCTGTTCCAACTCCACTGTCACCTGCTGCCAGCCAGGTCAGCCCATTGCTCTGTGGGAGTTTGGAAGAGGAGTCTCCCTTCCCTTCCTTTGCCCAGGTAAGCCATGTAGCAGAGTAAATCTTGTCAGAATTACTTCTTAGTTGGGGATTAGTCTGAGAACACAACTGCTTCCCCCACAAAAACAATGTGGGATAAATCTTACGGAGGCAGCATAGGGGTTGTTGAGTGCTTCAAGGGGTTCCTGTATGGTTTTTTTTCCACTGAAGGGGTATGCAGGATTGTTTTAGTAAATGGGATTTAATAATATCTTACAACTTCTTTTTATAGATGTTGAGAGTTGGAAAGGCAAAACCAGAAACATGGCCCAAACCTGCTCCGAAGACAAGAGGTGAGAAAATTTGGTATTACTTTTCAGGTTCTTTACCATGAATCTAAATCTAAGAGATCCTATCGCTTGACAAGAAACATCTGGAGTGTGGAGGCACATTTGCACTGCAAATGTTTTATACAGCCTTCTGCCTCTCAAGGCCCTTTCCTTCTTTCAGATGAGAATGCTCTAGCTCTCCCTGTGCCAGTGGATAGTGATGGAGAAAGCGACAGCTCTGACCGCATACCTGTGCCCAGCTTCCAGAATTCCTTCAGCCAAGCGATTGAGGCAGCCCTCCTGAAACTGGACAAACCGTCCACAGCTGCTCATTTGTCAGGTAGGGGTAGGGGGGGGGAGTGAAAAAATAGACTGTTTCCCTTTCTTCCCCTGGGAGAAGTGAGAGCAGCAATATTGGGGACTGAAAATTGGCCACAGAACAGTGCTGAAAATTGTCCGGTGGTGGTTTCTGAACAGCTTGACTAAAGCTTCTGTTAGCTTAAAGCAGCTCCCCTAGTGAGAGCTGAGATCTCCAACTAGCAGAGAATCCTGTTAGGACAAAGATGGCTTTTGACAATCATGTATGCCATGTTTTTATTAGAACTTAATTTAAACTTTGTCTCAAGGAAGTTTAGGTTATGCACTTTTAAACTACAAATACCTGAGCTGCTGAACTATCACTTAAGTTTGGCCAAAATGTCAAGGTAACTGCTAGCTGAAATTTCAAATTGGGATGAACTTAAACCTCCAAGGCTGTTGCTGGCTGATAAAACTCATTTCTGATGCTCAGTTCTGATGTTTAGCTCTGGCTTCTGTTTGAGACTGCACTGAATGATGGAGACAGTTGGGGGGAAGGGCCTTGGAGTTTCAGTGAGGTTGAGTCTCAGCTCCAGTTGTAGTGGTTTTTGGACACCGATGGAAGCAATACCTGCCTTGAAAGGTAGACTGCTACCCACTTGCAGTCCTGGGATCTGCAGTTGCAGCAGCAACTTTATAATCAGTTAGGCATGTTTATAGGTGCGGATTAAGTGTGATGGTGTCGTCTCCCTTTATTTGTCTGCAGTCATTTTTGTGCTAAAATCAAACTACCTGGTGCTCAGTGAGTTCATAGGAAGTGTCATGGACCTGTAGGAGTCATTTAGGCTAGGGAAGACTGTTTATCATTACTGTGTAATGTTCCTGTTCCATGAGAAGAATGACAGTATCATTTTAATTCTTCACAGAGGAAAAGGGAGGCAAGAAAAGAAAGAAACAGAAGCAGAAGCTATTGTTCAGCACCTCTGTTGTTCACACAAAGTAATCCTGCTGTTCAAGAGAAGTTTCCTCTCCTGGTTTTCTTTTAATTTTGCTTTGGTTTGCTGCTATAGATTAAGTATTTAAATTTGAACAGACTAAACTTGTGTTTCCAGGGCTTCTGGGGGGTTCAGGAGGAAACCATGAACAGTATATGTTGAAGTAGGATTTTATTTTTTTGATTCCAACTGCTTAATCAGTTCATACTGAAACAGAGTTTTGAAAGAAACAACTCGGAGACAAATCAGCCACGGTCTCTAGTGTGTGCCAGGTTGGTTCTTTTTGGCCTAATAGGCAGTGTGAAAGTTTTTACAGCTGTGTGGCACTGCCAAAATACTGCAATACTAACTAAGTGCAGAGAGCCTTTATTTCCCTAGAAGTATTCATGGGCAGAAGTCCACCTGACACTGACAGTAGCGCTGTTTCAGTAAAGCTGTCAAACTGCTCTCTTGAGAAACTGGTTTCTGCTGCACTGGAAATAGGCAAAAGAGTTTACTGGCTTTAGAGTGTTAGCTGCTATTATCTGTTCTTTTTCTAAAGAGCAAGAATTTCTCCTGTTCTCCTGGCTTGGAAAGGTTGAAAGCTGAGGTGAGCATAGAGCAGAACTTGGCTACTTTGTTTTGAAGTGACTCTTGATGGATTTGTGCATTTGAAATGTGTCCTGGTGCTGGTGGTAGAAGGCACCTCCTGGCTTCTCTCAGTTGTTCAACTCTGGTTTAATGTGGGTGAGTGAAGCTGCTAATTTTTTTTGCTTTTCTGCCAACTATGGGCTACACATTCTTTGTAACCTGATCATCTAGAATAAACACTCCACCCTAGGGCTCTTGTAACTACCTGAATGGTGTTCAGACACTAGCTGCTCTGGAGTTGGAAGAACAACTGATAGCTGGAGTCTGTAGCTGATTTTTATCCCCCAGCAAGAAACTGGGTTCTTTGTACTGGGATAAGGGCCTGTATCTGCTTGGTTCTGGGATGTAAGTTGATCTGCACTAAGCACCTCTCTGGCTATAACCATGTGTCTTCTGGACCCCTCCCCACTCTTTCTTTGGGTGGTCACATTCTGCACTGCTTGTGGTTTGATTTGAGCTTATGAGTTCAGTGGTGTCGATTTTGTTGAATAAAATGAACTATAGGTGTCATGTACCAGTCAAGGCCAACAGTTGCAATAAATCATACGCACATGCACTTAGAGTACTGCACACTTCCTGAGCTAGAGCTGAACTTTCACACCAACATGGAGCACAAGAACACATAGTTGCACAGATTCTGCTGACAGAATTCATGGCAGGGAGCTGGAGTAAAGTACCACATAACTTGCAACATGAGACTGATGGTGTCTTCTGTTATCCTTGGCCCCACTTGCACCCATGGTCTGCCTGTATGTGCACAGGCTTTAAAAAGCTGATGTGCTCCTCCCTCTGACACTGGTACTGATCTGAGAAAGGATGAGTGTGTTATATACCTGACTCCAGCAGTCACAGACACCACTGGCAGTCATTAGTTGTGTCTATCTAAGAGCTTTATGTCAATACACTGATTTTGAAGCAATAGGCTCCCAGTTAAACCAGTGCTTCCTTGAGGAACTTAAGCATGTGTGCATGGGAAGCCAGTACTGCAGAGTATACTTCCCAAAACTCTCTGTGGCTGTGAACCAGAAAGAAGAGGAGAGGTAAAGAAATCTTCAACTGCTACAGGAGGACATAGGAAACACCATTCTTTGAAAGCAGCTTGACTATGCGCTTGGTCACAATTAACTACACTGGATGGAAAGACAGCACAGCTTGGCAAGGGATTGCAAAGAAACTGAGGTGAGATGCCTGGAAGTCGTAATGCATCTTGCTGTTAATGCTTTATGTGCTCTTGGAAAATCTTGGTGAGGGCTGAGAAAGCACCCAAGTAAGAAAGAGTCAAGTATGCAGTTAACTGCATTCACAGTACCATTGGTTCCTATTTGTACTAGTCATTTTAAGCCATGGAACAGGAGTAACTACTTAAGTGTCTAACCAGTATCTGTTGTGTTCTATTATCTCTGCACATTTATAGTCAACTTTTCTTTGCATTGGGAAGGGAGACAGAGTAACTGGAGCTGGTGTAACTCGCCTCCGCATCTCACAGGCACTAGAGCAAGGGAAATGATGTGGGCAAGGAAGACTTGTCTCTTCTGCAGGTGCAGTCTCCACAGGACAGCATCTTCAAGTTTTCCTATCTTGTTTTCCTATGGATTCAAGAGATAATACCAGCAATGCTACTTTCTTGTAACTGATTGGTGTAAACATAATAAATATCTAAGCAGTACTTGTACTTCAGAGTTTTATAATGGGTTGGAGTTGAGCATTACAGCTCTGCCTTGGGCTCAGCATTATCTCTGCTCATGTATGCACAACTGATGCTTTTGTGACTCAAACCAGTGGCTAACCCTGCGGATAACATGCACTTGAAAGTAAAAAGAGTTAGGTGTTAATGCTTTTTCCGTACCGAAGGAGAATAACTACATTCCTTGTCTATGCCAAGTGCCTAAAGCTCAGTTCTACCTCAGCATGTGAAGATCACATCGAGCTGCTACGCTCCCTTTGGAGTGCAGGTGATTTTGACTCAAGTGAAACAGGCAAGTTAAAGTTAGTTACTTCTTAAGTAAAAACTAGATTTTATTTTAATTTACTTAAAAACACTTGGAATGGGGGAATGAAGTCTGAATATGAACAGATGCTTTTTCTGTCCTTTGCTTAACACTGAGGATAATTTGATTACACAAGTACAGGACAGAGGTGAACAGTAACAAGTAATGTTCAGTCTGTCTCTGTGCCATCATCATCATCATCTTCATTTCCACTTGGACACTGCTCTTCTGTAAGGGAGCAGCTCAGCAGGGACTTCTGTACACACCGTCTTTCCTCTGCAATAAAGAGAGCAACGGAGGGTCAATACTTGATCTCTTCACATACACTGGAATATTCTGAACTTCTAAAGAAAGGAGTATTTCTTAGTTCAAGAATGCATAAGTAGCCCAGCATATCCTACACCCCCCCGGGAATTGAGGCTGCTTTTTAGGAAGGCAGCTGGAGGAGCTCACCTTCATTTGTACACTTTTGCAGCAACATCAGCAGCTGTCTTCTGTTATACTCAATCAGGAATTTCTGACATGTTCTTATGGTACCTGTAGAAGTCACAAGAATATATTACAATCTACATGCACAAGTGGTTCAGAGCTGTTAGTATGTTTTCCAAAGCTTATTCCGTCAAGTGACAAATACCCCAGGCAGTGACTTTATTAATGCCAGTGCTAAGAAGGGGATGTAGACATCCTCACTGTTGAGATTAAGTGGGGCAATTCCTAACATGTAGTGCTTGTTATTTGCCCTAAGTGGTTAATTGTAAGGACACAGACTATACTTTGAAAATACATTTTAAAAAAAATAGTAGAATATTGGCTGCTCTGGTTTTGCGTTCAGTGCAATGAAGATTCAAGGAGAATTAGTAAGGGTTTCAACAAACTGCTGCCTATTCCTTACATAGATCTGCTAGAAGTTAAGCTGGGGATGCGTGTGGTGCACCTGTGGCACCACAGCAGGTAGAGGGGCTTCTCCCACACTAGCAGGCCTGGAAGGTGCGGTGAAGCTCCACGGGCACCCTGCAGGCACCAGACCCTGCCCCCAGGCGCGGGGCGGCTGAGGCTGACCTCCGACGTGCAGCGTGTTGAGGAAGCAGGGGTACCGCTGGTTCCGGCTCTCCAGCTGCCTCACGAAGGGGAGCGCGGAGCA